GTGGTGCGTGCCTGTAATCCCAGCTACTCAGGAGGCTGAGGCAGGAGAATTGCCTGAACCCAGGAGGCGGAGGTTGCGGTGAGCCGAGATCGCGCCATTGCACTCCAGCCTGGGCAACAAGAGCGAAACTCCGTCTCAAAAAATAAATAAATAAATATATATATACATCTATATAATCATATAACTTTTAATCTTACTAATAGGTCTCAGGTCAAGAAGCATGGGACTGAAGTGACATCGGGAAAGAGGTGACCCTAAGGCAAGATGCTCTAAGTCCTCTGTCCTGCCTGCATAAGGCTGCCGGAGGATGCCTTGGCTGTGTGACAGTGTCGGCGCTGGGAAAGCACCCGCTGTTTAGCCAGCTGGGGAAGGAGACGTCCAAGATGGCTGAGACATCTCCGTCCTCCGGGGAGTGAGGAGAAAACTCTCCTCGAGGCTCTTGTGGCAGGCCTGGCGGCTGTCAGGGAGGCCCGCAGACATCCAGGGACACATTAGAAGGAAGCTGAGCTCTCATCATGGCCAAAAAGGCACCAGAGCCCCGTGCCCCTCTGGTCTCCGGCACCACCACCCCCCCAGCGTCTGCTCCACCTGCTCTGTGCCACACCCTCCCCACAGGGGCCTTGGCATTCGCCACCTCCTCTCCTCCCGGCACTGTTCCCTCTGCCATCTGCATGGTGTCCTCTCTCATTCCATTGCCATATTTTCTCAAATAACTTTCACGGGAGGCATTCCCTAGAGCAGCACCTGTATTGATTAGCTTGTGATCTATTGCTGCCTAACGATTTACCCCACTACCCAGTGCTTAACGACGAGCATTGACTGTCTCTCCCAGGTTCTAGGGACTGGCCATTCTGGTACAGCGCGATGATGGCTCTGCTCAGGGCCTCGCATAAGGTCACAATGAAGACATCAGCCAGGGCTGCTGTCGCTTGAAGGCCCCACAGGGGCTGGGGGCCCTGGAGCTCCCTATGTGGCTCACTCCCATGGCTGGCGCTGGCACTGACATGACAGTTTTCTCTGCAGTGGCCTCTCCAGGGCTGCCTGAGTGTCCTCACTACTCAGGGGCCGGCCACACCCCACAAGCAAGTGAACAAAAAAAGAGTGGCAGGTGAGAGGCAGGTGTCCTTCCTTCCTTCCTTCTTCCTTTCCTTCTTTTTTTTTTTTTTTCTTTCTTTTTTTTTTTTTTTTTTTTTTTTTTTTTTTTTTTTTT